TCTTGTACTAGGGAGATTAGAACTGCACACAATACTCCACATGCGGACTCACCAGAGCTGAGTAGAGGGGTAGGATCACCTCCCTCAACCTGCTAGCTCCTTCTCCTAATACACCCCAGGATACTATTGTCCTTCTTGGCCACAAGGACATACTTGTCCTGGATAACTTGTTGTCCATCAGGACTCCAAGGTCCTTCTCTGTAGACCTGCTTTCCAGCAGGTCAGCCTGTACTGGTATATGGGTTTATTCCTTCCTAGGACCCTACACTTGCCTTTGTTGGATTTCATAAGGCTCATCTTCATCGAGCTCTTCACCCTGTCCAGGTTTCTCACAATGGCAGCACAGCCCTCTGCAGCCACTCCTCCCACTTTTGTATCATCAGCAAACTTGCAGAGGGTGCACTCTGTCCCTTCACATCCAGGTGACTGATGAGTAAACTGAACAGCATTGGACCCTAGGGGACATCAAGTGCTACAGGCCTCCAACTAGACTATGTCACCGATCACAGTCCTTGGAGCTCTGACATTCAGCTAGTTCTCAATCCACTGTGCTATCCACTCATGCTTCCTGAGCTTGCATCTGAGGATGTTACGGGAGGCAGTGTGAAAAGTCTTTCTGAAATCAAGGTGCACCACATTCTCTGCTCTCTACTTATCTACCCACTCACAGTAGGCTCTAGGGATGGAGGTGAGGCTGACTATAGTAGATTATACAGTTCCCCAAACAACACCAAAAATCCTATACTTATTCATAAGCATGTATACACAACTGTGCAATCCCAATCAGACATTCTCCCTGAACTACTTTATATCAGCATATCAGATCACAGTCCTGTTCTGATTCGAATTCAACTTCAAATTAAGCTCCAAATCTAAATACTTAAAACAACATATTTTGAATTACTAACCCAATAGGACCACTCTGTAACTACTAATGTTCTCATACATAACAAATTCCATCGGTCCCTCTGTTACCAAACAACATGAATTTCTCCTTCAAACAAAACTCATCACTTTCTATAAACATAAACAAAAACTGAATAGCAGAGTAATCTAGAATATCATCAAATCATGTTGACCTATGCAAGAACAACGATGAAAGTTTCCCTATGATAGCTATAGCAGCCCTCCATCATAACAGTGCATCCAAGACTGCATGCAGAGAGGTTTTAGTGATTTTGGTAGTTTCTTATAAAAAAAAGTTCATACTCTGGCTTTTGGTGAAGGACAAATCCAGTAAGTTCTTGCCTGTGTTGAAGATCCACCATACTAAAATGATGGATAACTCTAAATATCCAAATTGGATATTATTTAATAATATCCAAAAAGATATTATGCAGATGCGCTGAAGCTAATTTTAGACACAATAAACAACTTTAAATCTGACACTTTAAAATACTTCATTTGCAATCCTAGTCATGCTTTTGATATACATGCACACTTATGTTTTCACCATGATTTATACAGTTACATTTTGCAAATTCTGTTGATCTGCTGTTATGAAGGTAGAGATGTGAATTCCAAAAGATCATCAAGCCTAATTAGTACTTCAGATCCCGTATTTTCACTTTTTGGATAACATATTCAAGTAGATTTACTTAATGGTTAAGGACTCCCTGCACACTCCTTCCATATTCCTCTCACAGTGTGTGTTCAGTATGGGGCACAGAAAATGGGGAAATTACTGTACTAGTTATGTAATTTTTATTTATTTATTTATTCGCTTAAACCTTTGTATCTTAAACGTGGCAAGCGTGGCGCAAAAGGAACACTGCAGAACATGGGATTGTGCTGATCTTGCATAATGCCTAAGAAAGGACAGAAGTAATCAAATGGGCTACATTCACAAGCAGACACTGAAGAAGGAATTAAAATCTATCTGGAAAAGTTTTTCTCTACACTAGAACTTGCACATGATAATATGTGCTGGCACTATACATTCTCAGAACAATTTGGACACCTATCTCCACTCTGTGTATTAAAAAACTGCCCTTTCTTTTTTTGAGCAGCCTTAAAGTAAAAAGACTTCAAAAGGACAGTTGAAAATTCCCTGCTTGGACTGACAATATCCCATTATTTTATCATAGGGTTGTCAAAAAGTTTGTGTTGCAAAAGTTCTGGTTTTGTGGCTTCCTCACACAATTAGGGTTAGAGGGGAAAAGAAGAATGTGTCGCTGAATAAAGAGGAATACTAAGAAATGGGACATTTATTAGTCCTTCTTTAAAACCAAGTGGAAACTCTTATCATTTTCAAAGAGAATCTTAGGAAATCAGACTAGACTGAGTATTGATTTGCAAATGTGTCCTCCAATTTTTCCTTTCTGAAGCACCCAGATCCTTCTCAACTAAAGAGAAATCCCAACTCTACCATCTATTCCTCAGCAGGTAGTGCTGAAGTCCCACAAAGGAGCTGAAATTGTTCACTGGCAAATCAGATGCTTGACTGAATTCTTTGTCCTTTGAAGAGGAAGCCAGACCTTAATGCAATCTTACTGAGTTGAGAAGAAGGAAAAAAGGGAGGTGAAAAATGAGACACTGGTGGATTATAAGATCAACAGTTTAAAACATTCATTAACGCTTGCATATAATAAGAAGAGAAAGCTCCTGCTGTCAACACATTTAGCGGCTGCTTTTTCAATAGAATATGTGTGTGTCTGTCTAGTAAATATTCATCCCAGGCCTGCAAGTTTGCTAGTATATGTAAAGAAATGCTCAGCAACTACAAGCGCAAAGAACCAGTACTTTCCTCAAAACACGTGCAGAGAAGGAAGTTGTATGAAAAAACGGTACCTACTTACTAAGTTTCACCTGCATACCAATCACGTAAGAATAAAATCTTCAAGTTTCAAACCTAAGAACATTCTCAGAGGTCAATGATAGTTTTGTTTGCAATTTTAATAGTTGAGTTTTCATTAACTTATTCATGTAATTTAATCAAAAGTCATGAAGGCAAAGCAGGAAAAAAACAAGATCTTTCTATGTTGTTGGAACAACTCCTTCTTGCAGACATTTGATTTGTGGCTCCATAAACTCAACACAGTTTCTGCCAGAAGGTGAGCAAAAGCACTAATGAGTTCAATAAAGAGCATAAAATAAAGTTGTTTTTCCTGCAAGTTCTGCAAGGATCAGAGCCTAAGAGATCAAAGAAACAGTTAAAAGAAAACCATTAACCATAAGAAAAAAAGAGACAGTTGTAAAGACGGTTGCTACTTGGAGCACAAAATATTTTATTGCTTCTAACGTAAGTTTCATTAATCTGGAAGCCAGAGACAGAACTGTGAAGGTGCTTATAAAAACCATTTGACCTACATGGTTTTGGAAATATCTTGGAAGAACCTTACATATGCATCCCCTACAGGAAGAATCCATCCCTTCAGCGCTGATCATATAAATAGACATGCCAAAATAATATCTGACTATGTGGATTCAAATAAAGGATTGTATATAGGTAACAAAAAGAAAGACAAATAATAAAAGAAATCCAAAATTAACCCAAACAGATACCAAGACTTACAGGGGAAATAAAAGAGAGGTTTAAATTTCCATGCTTTAACTTGTAAACATGCTTCCAGTTGATATATAAAGAAACTTTCCTAATGAGTTGAAACTTTTAGGAACATTCATAGAATCACAGAATGCTTAAGGTTGGAAGGGACCTCAGAGGTCATCTAGTCCAACCCTCCTGCTCACGCAGGGTCACCTAGAGCACGTGGCACAGGGCTGCGTCCAAGCAGGTTTTAAAGATCTCCAAAGAAGGAGACTCCACAACCTCTCTGGGCAGCCTGTGCCAGGGCTCTGTCACCCTCACTGTCAAGAAATGTTTCCTTAAGTTCCTGTGGAACTTTTGGGGCTTCAGTTTGTGGCCATTTCCTCTAGTCCTATCTCTGGTCACCACTGAAAAGAGGCCGGCCCCTCCTCCTCACTGCCTCCCTTGAGGTATTTATAGACACTGATCTGGTCCCCCCTCAGCCTCCTCTTCTCCAGGCTGAACAGGCCCAGCTCATTGTAATTATTATGGTCAAAACATCTATATATACACTACTTGATGATGGGACTATCAGGTAGGGCAGATCCCACGCACCTCAAAAAAAACAACTTTTATCCTAGTGTAGATGAAATCCCATATTTTCAGCAGGAATGCATATGCTGACATAAACAATTTACTCAGAAAAGGCATTGCCAGAGAAAACACAAGTTACAAGCTTGAAGACTATTATTATACTTGTAAAACATGTCAATTCATCGCAAATCCATTTTTGTTTATATATTCATTTATTAAACATGATCCATTTAGGCATTTGCAGTTTAACTGCAAGATAGTGATATGCTTCGATTCATCTTCTCTAACTAATTTTGAAACAAATCCCTACTGTTAGAAGAATTATTGCCAGGTCTGATCTGTTTTGTACGTATTGAAAATCAGCTTAATGATAAAAAAAAAAAAAAATGCAGTCTGGGATATAATTGCAGGGTGAGATCTAATTAATTCTTCCCAGAGCTTCGCCATTAAATATTGTCATCTTATTTGAAAGAGATGAGAAAAATCCCCATTTTACTCCAAGAACAGCCCCAAGCACTATTAGAAACTCATCAGGTGCCATGAACGTCTGAAAACATCGTAATATTTAAGGTATAGTATTGTGAAGCATGTGCAATCAGCATGCATCTAGATTGTTATTTGTGCAAAAGTATGAGGACCTACACTCTGTCGTCATGTGCAAACCCCACACTGTCTTCATTGGGGGTTCTGGGCACTCGCACAGGGCACAATCTGGCCTGTACTTACTTTCTTCATATTTAAAAGACAAAAAGAATTATTAACTATTCTCAAAAACAACAAAATTGCAGAATGTTTTAGTAGAAAAATAAACATTTTAAAGTTATTGACAGGTAATATTAGTGCAATTATTTTGACTGCCATACTTTGACTGCCACACAGTAGATTAAAAAAAATATATTGTCACTTGTGAAAAGAACCAAAAATATTTTAGAAACAGTTATGTAGCTGCCAGAAAAAAAGAGTGCTTAGTGTCTTTTAATGCTCCAGGAAACACAGTTCAATGTTTGTAAACCAATTATAGTTCTTTTTATACAAAAATATATCAACTATGTAATTTACAGAAGGCTGAAGAGCTGCTGACTAGAAAGATAATATTTTCATATTTGGCTATGTACTAAAGGATGATGGTGTCTGGATCAAATTCGTTCTTTGAAGAACCATTTTTGGTAGTTTGAATCAGTACATGGTCGTAATAGTGGTGCTGGATTACCATTGTAAGAGTTTGACTCTGCCTGTAAACACTTCTGGGTTTGTACATGAAGTAGGGTGCCATCCTAGAAAAGACGAAAATATTTTAATCAGGCTTGCATTTTAAAAGTAACTGAAAACATTCATAACAAATATGTATCATACATACCCTTATCTTGAGACTATGCAGTGAATCTGCTTAACGTAAGCCTCTCTGAAACTTTATCAAAGACTCTGCTTTTAAACTTGCACTTACTTCACTTTACAGTCTTGACATGAGTTTATAAAATATTTTCTAGCTTTACTCACTTTGATTCCTTTTGTTCAGCATCACATCACATATGAACAGAGAAAAACAGCTGAAAACAAGCATTAGTTAAGTTTACCTGGTTTTTGTCTATCTTTTAAGCAGAATTTTATTAGATAAATTAGAAAAATTAGGTTAGATAATTGCAGATGTTGCATATATTTTAGCAAAAATTTGCTTTTTCTTTAGAGGGTATATTTTTAGTGGAAAAAGCAAAAAAAATCAGCATTAAAAATGAAACATGTCATTACCAGCCATCATTTTATGTATCACTGTGGGCTTTAGTCTGGACTAGATTCAGTGAATTGACCAAAGTTTTCAATTTACTTTGCCATCCATTTTCCAAAGTAAACTCCTCAGTACTTATTACCTTTGTGACAGTACCTAAGCATAAACTTGTCAACAGTGGAGTATGTAGAATTTAGATACATTAGGTAGACCAAACATCTAAATACATTATGCGACCTTTTCCCTTTGTTAAATGGCACCCAAGAATTTCACCATGGCCCTAACTTTTCATGTAATTTGCTTTCCCTCATGCATTCACAAACTCCTCCTGAGATCAAAATCTACTAAACACAAGGTTTTCTAGGGTCACATGTTATTTCTCCTCTTTAGGGACAGACATTGAAGAGAGGTACAGATTTGTTGACTCCCCACAGCCAGTAAGATGCATCCTGTCCAGGGGTTAGGAGTGAAAATGATGGAAGATATTTCCTGACAGGGCATCAAGTTACACAACTGCATTGCAGAAAAGCTCAGACAGCAATTCTAGTGCTCATGGGAGATCAACAGGAATTATTTGCAGAGGACAAGTGGAAGCTTCAAGAAATCTAGTAGTAGGGAAGAGTAGCAGTGAAGCATAAAGGTAAGATATCAGGGATATAAGAAGGTATAAATACTTTGGGGGTAAGAGAAGCCACAGCATGCAGAGCAAAGGAAGGCCAGGGCTGGGGAAAGGGAAAGAAAGCATCAAGGTCCTCAGAAGACAGGGGTGGGCTGTGGGAAACAAATGAGCACCCCACAGTCAGCAGCAGGTGAGCAGGAGAAGACAAACCTATCTATAAACTTGCTCAGTTCCTCTGAAGCTAGGAAGAAGTGTTTTCCTTCTTTCTACTCCTTAGATGTCTTGAGACTTCACCAGTGCAGTGCTGTTACTCTGCTGTTCTACGTAAACTGGTCAATAGGTCAAAATGAACATTCATGAAATTAAATTTCTTCCAGAGATTTAGGCCTATGGAAATAATACTCCAAATACAGAAGTAATTATTGATTGCATCATATGTAAGTAATTAAGGTTTTGTGAATGAAGCTTTTCCTCCTACATACAGATATATTTATATGTACATATATATGTATATGTGTGTGTGTATATATATACATATATATATATATATATTTTTTTTTTCCCTACCCTCTTCCCTCCCATATCAATCAACCAAAAGCAAAATAGTCACACTTACCTCTCTGAAAATAAACTTCTGATTTTCAGGGATACTGTGAACATTTTCTTCACACAAGTACATAATCAAATAGTCAGTTCCTGGATTAACTGCTGCACAGGCTTCTGGCTGCCTGGTGTTGTAACGTATTTCATTACGGGATGTATATTCAAAAAACTACAAGTTCAAGAGAAGAAACAGGACAAATGCAATTTCATATGTACGCAAGAATGCATTCATAAAAAAAAGAAAGGCTTGCTAACCTACTATAATTAATTTTACGTACTAAATTTGCTACAGAGAAGAGAAATCCTGCAAACAAACATTCCTGCCAGCTTTGCTGCAATGCATACAGTATTAAAAAAAAAAAAAAAAAAAAAAAAAAAAAAAAAAAAAAAAAAAAATCTCACCACAACATTGCTCTACTTTGACAGCATCCCAAGTGCATGAAATGCTGAAAAGATGAACTAGAAAGCAGATGTTGAACATTAGAGGACCTATAAAACTGTAATACACTACTTTCACATTCTATATCACATAAAAAATAGGACAGAAACTAGTTTATAGACTGACATTATGCCTTTTGAATTCAGTTGTCACAAAACAACATCACTTTTAATTAAGGAGCTCTTCACTGAATAGTTCAAATGCAGTTTGGTCAAGGTTCATTTCCAACTACAAATATGCAGATGCACAGTGATGATCACTTCATTATATGAAGTTTTAAGATACTGTTTAGCGCAAAGCAGCTACAGCTACTTTGAAAAACCTGAGCAGAACTTTTAACAAACACAGTTCACTGGCCTTGCTGCTTCTATAATATTCTACAGAGATGTTCTGTACATGCTCTAAAGCATCTTTGCTCCTGTAGCAATTACGGTTGAAGTCTTCCTTGAAATTTTTATATTTATCATGGCAATCTGCCAAAATTTTGGACTTCATTAAAGAAAGCAGTAAGAGTTTAAGAGAAGTTTGTATTTAGCACCCTTGTGAATTATTTAGTGACTATGGTTTACGGATGTGTGTTTAGAACTGATTTAGATTACACTCAGTAGAAAAGAATTCCATACACATCAGAAGATTGCTCATTAACAGTAGCTAATGTATTAATGGAAAGCAATAAAGGAATGGACTTGAGGAACAAAGGAAATTCTTCTGTTTCTCCCCCTGGAGAGGGGAGAGAAGAAAAGGAGGAGGAAAAGGTGCTGTACTGATTCTGAACCATTGTATAAACTGGAATACAACACAGGATTATCCTCAACAATCACCACTTAATCAGCATTGAAATTGAGTTCTCTTCTTCTTCTGGCAATGTAAGTGATCCCCCAGAACTAACCTGTTCACCATCATTCACTCAGCAATGCCAGTCAGCTATCTGGGCACCGAGTTTAAACCTAGGATTTGTGAATAAACATAAAGCTTCACTTCTGTTCCTTTATCAGGACACTGCATCTCAGCATACTTTCTGCTGCTACTTTCATAAGGTGACAGCTTGTTCATTATTGTTAAAAAGTAATTAAAGTTAATTCTTCATAGAATTAACTATTTGTGTTTGAATATCACTGAAAGCCTGGCAAGTTGCTGATTATACCAGATGTATTGAGTAGCTGAAGCAGCCACTAGGACAAAGCATTTATAACTGTTGACATCTTTCTTCAACTGCCTCCTAAAGATATTGCATCAGATTTGGGAAGAGAAGAGATTTATTAGCTTTATTAGCTAATAAAAAGGTTAAATTCTGGATAACATTACAATCAGAGTTATATTATTAACAACCAAGCATTCATGCCTCCTTGCTTATGAGCATTATACAATTCTTTATCACATATTGCTTCAAATGAAATAAGCACTTCAGATATCAGTCATTTAAAGCTTCAGTAATACATGAGATAAATCCCTTCCTCCTCAAAAGATAAAGAATTTTTTAGCTGTATTCCCTTGACCAAAGACAAAGGCTGCATGGAAAGCACACATTTACAGAATTGATTTGTGGGCCAATACCTAGTGGCCTTATTGCATTTCTTTCTTTCAGAGAGCTGGTAGATTCCCTTAAGTGCCACAGGGAAATATGATGAGGCCCTTTACTAAACTGCCTACCATTTCTGGGAAACCTGTGGGATACGCCCCAGCTGCATCAGCACTCTGTGGTGTAAGAGATGGAAGATTTCTGCCACTTTACCAGGCCCTGAAACATTCCATATGTCTGCATACAGCGCTCTGCTGACAGAAAGGAGTTTGCACTTTACAGGCACAAAATGGGTGATATAACCAGGGGCAGAGTTACAGGGTCTGCCACAGAAAACATGATGGCAAAGACCTCCCCTGCCTCTCCCTACTTGCCTGGAATTTCTCAGGCACAGATGCGAAGACCACCGTGAACCTTTTCTGTCCTATTTCCTAGCCCTTTAATGACCCAAACTGCAAAGCCTTTCCTTCTGGCCTGCCTGGGTCAGGTGCTTACACAGAACATTACTGGCCCGAGGTACAATCAATGTTTTGCTCACTTTCTACTTTTCTTCCATATATACTTCCAAATCATATCATCACTTTTTGCTGTAATGAGCATGCTAATTTTAAGCACCCTACAGCTAGCTTTCTTACTGCTCACACAAAAGCAATTCAGGGACTAAAGAAAAACCTCCCACTGAGGCCATGGCATCGCACAACAGGATTCAAGCGGACAAAGCAACTATTAACTGTGGACCTCAGATAGTAAGTAAAGCCATTCTCAGAGAACTAAGGCATAAAATGGGAGCATGTGCGGGACATCATAAATACTCAAGAGCACAGAGCTCTCTCCTTTTGGCACAGTGCACAGGTATTCAGAGGGCACTTTAAGTGGAGAATTGCTTCCAATGAAAAAGAGCTTTTGGAGTTGTCCTCTGCATAAACAGCCCCTCCACCTCTGGTATAACATGCAAAACAAGGGGCATACTGGAGTGTAAGATACTTATGGCTGGCCAAAGTAACTTTCATTAGTGTTAAATTCTACCAAGATATTTTGGAGAATAACTTTAGTGAGCTGTACTCTGGAGAATAAACTTCACTCCCTTCTCCTATGAGATAGTGTGAATGTGCAGTAGTGAGTACTATTGGAGGAAGAAAATGTTGAATGGTGAAGCAAACATCACAGGTGGACGGAGAGATGAGGAGGGAAAGACTAGGGGAGAAAAAAGAGGGAAGTAGCCAGGAAAGAAGGGCCAAGGGGCATGACATGATCGACCAGGCACAGAGAGAAGCTGCTGGGATTAATAACTGGGAGGAAAACACTGAGCAAAGCATTAGAAAAGCAGCCTGGGAGCCAGCTGGCATGGCAGAAAAAGCACTCACTGCATGGAGAGAAGAAAGTAGGGCTGAGACACACGGTACAGAGGAGCCAACTGATGTAAAATTCCATCATAAAGCTGTACAGGGTAAAAAGCTGAGTGACAAGAGCAGATAAAAGAAGAACAGGAAGGAAAGGAGGAAAGGCTGGGATGGCTAATCCCTTTCAAGGATAAAATGGGAGTTAAGAGCTGCCTGTTGTCAGAAAGTATCTTCAAAATTTGGTAGTAGTGACCTATGTCACTATTTGGTAGCAAAAGTTGACCTATTCTTCTGTAGCACTGATAATTACTAAAGACTGACAAACTTGTTGCTGCCATCAATTCCTAATGGAACTGTGGTGAACCTGTACTCGGGAGACATGAATGTTTCTGGCCTGCTGTTATCACTTGAACATGGAACTACGAAATTCACCAAATAGAGAATGGTCTGTTGCCTTTTACAAATAGCACCGTATGAGTAAGGGAAGCAAATGGAGACATGCTCTGCTAGAAGATTTCACACCTATTTGTGAACCAGCAAGCTCAGGAATGCTGACTCCCTATTCACTTCACATGGCATGTCTGCTGCTACACTTCTCCTCCTCCAACCTCCCTGTTCCCACACCCTCAGCTCCTGCTCACGTCCACTTTTCTTTTTATAGCTGCTATATGGTCACCCCCGGCTCATCCTCCTCTGATAGCTTTTGTCTCAGCTTCAAAATACCTCTTGTTCTTGCTGCTCACTAGGCACCAGCACAGGGAGCACTAACTGCATGAGCCGGAGACCATCCTGCTCGCAAGCCTGCTGCCACCTGTCACGGGCCCTTCAATGCCTCTCACCAACAGAGGTGTAAGAGAATTAGCAGTTACGGTGTGCTAACTTTGCAGCAGACTAGCAGTTAATCTTTTAGTACTAGCTGAACAAAGCAGAACTGTGAAAATGTCATCTATTAAGAACCTTTCTGAATAGCAATGGTGCTTCTGCTTTCACTTTTTATCCAGTGACATATTTTTGGTGGAAGTGGGTGGAAAGGTTAAACTTTAATGAACTTTCTTGTTCAAAGACAAAAATATTCTACCCCTTTGCTCTCTGAAATCCATAACATAAGAAGAAAGTACCTAAACCAGCACGTGTTTAGGAGCAGATAATCCTATAGAAAAGTGTTCTTAATCTGGGAAAGCAACTGAGATAAGAAAGCGGTTAACTAGTTTATCTGATTATTTATACGGAAGTATGCCAAATCTGGGCAACTGAACCGAGGGAGAAAAATGGCTTGGGATGGTATAGATCAGTGTGCTTGACATACACTTGGCATTATCATACTCATTTGGATTTAATGATGAATCATGATGATTCTCCTCCTCTCTCCTTCTGTCTTTACTGCCAGAACAAAAATTTTATGAAAGTTATTTAAAAACCTTATTTGGCTTATTTAATAAACTGTAAAATAACACAAAATAATAATATTACAAAATGGTATTTTCACTCCTTAGTGGACCATTTCCACTACTACAATAAACCTGCTGCTAGAAACAAAGTTACTCCCTGCTAGATCTGAAACACAGCACATTTTTAAGCGAAAAGCACTTCATGTTAGAAACTTTCTCTTTAATGCAAGCTTTCTTTTTACTCCTCTAGCTTTTATATCTTTTTAAAAGCAGAGATGAGTTCAGAAAGGCTGCTAATAAACTGCATGGCTATCACGTGTGTTTTCTAAAGCTATTTTTCCTTTTCTAAACAAAAGTTTGGATAAATTTCCTAAAAAAGCAGTCAGGCCACCCAGAGTTATGTCAACAAGACCTCTCAACAAGTCCTCTTATTTCTATGTTTGAAACAAGAAAAAAATGGACACTACATAAGGAAATACAGGTCACAAGCCACATGTCAAACACTACCCCCTAATTTGAGAAGATACCTATTCAAAACCATGTAACACATAGTGGCTACTGTATATTGTATCTGGTGCCCTATAGCACTTTTACCATGGAAGTATGTATACAGCTTTATCAGTATCATAACCTGTTGCACACAGTTTCAATCAGTATAGAGAAAGATGCCAGCAAATATTTAAAGCTTTACAGCTTAGAGCCAAGAAAGCCAAAATTAAAGCTCTAGAAAGCATCCATCTTGACCTAACAGAACATTTATGTAGGACAGACTGAAGGAGAAAAGACCATCCAGAACCTCCTATGCAGTCAGCCAAACACCAAGATGACAAGGCACAGGCAGATCCTGGTGAGGCTTGCAATGTTATTACAGCATCTTGGAGATGGACAAAAGTGGATGGATAGAGTCCCCTGTCCAGCAAGCCATATAACTGCACTGCCACGCTGCTAACCCCTGCCAGCAAGCTCTGTGGAAAGGCATGATTAAAGTACTTGTGGCTTCTCTGTTACAGGTAGAGATGTCTTCAGTACTAAAGAAGTCTGACCTCAGGATGTATTAGTATTAAAAGCCTCCAGTGGAATAACTGAATAGAGATCTAGTTGTAAGATCACCTTACTGTGGTGACACAGTCCCTCAGTGCTGGAATGCGTTTTACCATTCTTTTTACCAGACTTTTTTATCATACTTTTTTTTTTACAATAATAACACGAATCAAAATGAAAATAAAAGATGAATCTTACCTGATTTTGCCCCATGCCATGACATGGGTACAATATAACCCTGTGTCCAGTTACTTCATGTTCATTTGGAGGGTTATAATCAAAACAGAAGTTCTCCATTCCTCTGTTCTTCAGCTAGTCAAAAGAGAATAATTTTTTAAAACATTTAAAATGCCTTAGTTCTAAAGTAAGGATGATTACATTGCAATCACTTTACACTCATACTGCTGGAGTGTGAGGTTTATATCTCAGAGCTAGAAGAAGTGGTTTGAATGAACTACAGTAGAGATTAATTAAATGGGGAACAAATAAACCAAAACTGTCATGATGATTCCAACTCAGGACACTGAACCAGCCAGACTTGATGGGTTCCCCTAGGAATGTGAGGGATGCAGGTGGGAGCTATGAAAAGCTATGCTGAAATGCAACAGGCCTTATCAAAGTGAGGGATGACTTTTATGCTGTCTTCTATTCTCTGCACCCCTCACTTCAACTTACTTAGTATCTTTATAAAAAAGGCTACATTTTCTTTTTTTTTGATTATCTAAACAACTGCAGCTCCCCTCTGAAGGTTGACAAGCAGTCAGATGTTAAGACTAGAGAGAAATCCCAGCAGTGGATGATGATTCTCTTTTAAATGACACATCATATATTTTAATATAGTAAATTATATGATTTCAAAAAATCATGTTAATTCATAAGAATTTGCATTTTCGAAGCATGTAGGAGTCAAAAGTAACCAAAAATAAGTCGAACAACATTGTAATAGAGAAGCTTAATCTCAACCATGTAACCTAATTTAAAATTATGTGGAGCAAAACAGGTTCTGTGAACACATTTAGCCTTAATGCTCCCCACATAGAAATCTATCACACAGTAACAGAATAAACCAGGTCAATCTCAGCAAAGTTACGACTTAAGCAAAGTACCTTTGGCTAGTATTGAGAACTATATCCTCAGTTCTTAATTCAGAGAACAAATGAACATGAAGGAATTACCAAAGGAGAAAATGGATAGGAAAAAAGCCCTGTCTCTTCAAACATCGAAGTTCTGTCCTAACTAGATTTGTCATTTAAATCCTTCTGACCATGTTTTCACTGTGCATTTGTTGCAACTTTCCAAGTGAAATGAAAATAAAGATCTGGGGGAATTCATGTCATTTTTCATGTCCCAGTCTACCAGAAGTAAAAGAAATCCTCCGGACACTATATACACTCACTGTACTAGCATACTCCTGTTTAAATGGTGAAATTGCTGACATCCACGCCAACCTCAAGTCTTCACTGTCTTTCCGAACACATGCTTTTCCACTTGCATTTCCCAGTATGTGCCATGGAATATGGTACCTTTAATGACTTTTTAATTTTTAAATAATCTATATTAAAATGATGCTATGTGCCACTAGAACTAATACTAAATTAAGATAAGATGGTTTAAAACTGAGTCTGCTCACATGATGTTATCACAAATAATTTCTAATTTTTTCTTTCTCAAATAAATATTTTTGGTATGTGCATATCTATTCCTAAACATATATTGTCCCTATTTCAGCAGGGCTTTCTTAGTTTGTCATATCAGACATTTGTAGATGGTCTTTAAATGCACACTTGACTAGTAAGCCTAATAGATGCTGAAGATCTATTTTGTGGAGCTACTCGAGTACTGATCAGATAAATGATCTGAACAGAGATGAAAGGATTTAAATCAATACCACAATTTCATCTCAATACCTCAATACACATAAGATCACTTAACACCTGTTGCAAGACAAGGCAAAAAAAGTATGAAAGAAATGATGAAAGGAGTATTTTCTTCTTGTTAAATGAAGAAAGACAATTTAAGTTCCTTATACTTACAAAACACTACCAAAATAACAATAGTCCATTCGTGTCTGAAGATACCTTTCTTGCAATGTCTACCACAAACAAGACACACAATAAAGAACAAATTTTCCTCTATGACTTACCTTACTTTTTTTCTGAATGCTGCATTAGAGAAACAGAAACAAGAAAAAAAAATGATCACTTTGTCATTAAAATATACTGTGATGATATACACTTTCTAAAAAGTGCTGGAAGAGCCCCTACATTGCATATGTTATGCATCTTTTTCTGTGGTCGGCACCAGATCTCAAGGTCAAGTCAGCAATAATCTTGGGTACCAATCTAATCTCAAGTGGCGGTTCTACAAATTCTATTACAATCACGTTCTAAAGGTTCCTCCACTCTAGAGGAGGCTCCTTCGTAGCCTCCAACCTCTGAGAAGTTGTAATATTCTGCATGCAGTAGCCTTTTTAACTACATATCTTTATCCACAAAACTAAGGTCTCTTCTTATGCATGCCTCTCCATGACACCATGTTAACCAGGTAATCTATAAAGTGATCTCTTTCATGTCTTAGCAGAACAAAACTCTTCATATTTTTAAGGGCAGGAACCATCTTTTTTATTCTGCTTCCTTCCTGCCTCCCCTCCCCCTGCCTTTTTTTTCTGTTGTGTGGGGGGAAGAGGAAAGGGAAGGGGGGGAAATCAGGCTGAATCAGGCCTGAATTAAAACCCAAAGATTACTGAGCATTTGGAAATTCCCTTAGGATGAGACGGCCTTGAGAAAAAACAGTGAAGGAAGCTGCTTCATTGCTTCAATGAAGCATTTGAAAAACTCGAGTATTTGATCTCCTGAGTGATTCAGTCAATCATGAAAGCCTCTAATGGTCTATCAAGCTTGTTTTTTCACATTGATGTGCTACATCAGCTAGAAATTGCCTGAGAAGAAAACCTCCCATATTAGAACATAACATAGTAAGCATAATATGCTCTCATGTGATCAAACTTACAGAGAAATGCCCTCATTTTTGTGTCTATGTTGTCCTTTAAAAGCAATTTTGATAACAAGACTAGGATAAATATTTCACCGACCAGAATCATTATCCTCAGATGCATACCTTGAAGGCCAGCTGTGCTTAATACACCTTAGAAAGGAATGCTGAAATTCCCCCACTTTACAACCATGCATTTCTACATCCATTAACAGCATGAAAAGATCATAGTACTGCCTGATTTATCTATCCTTATGGAGTTTCACAATGCTGCCATGTCACAATATTATTATTAAGCACACAGGGTGGCTGCAGGTCCACCAAATGCACAGAACAAAGCTGCTACAGCCAATCTGGTGTTAATTAACAGAACTTGAAATCAGTCCTTCTTGATTGTCCTGATGACTTTTGGAATTACGAGAAGCCAAGAAATAACCACCATGTAAGGCAGGGAGTGAGGAGGATGGGGCTGGTCTCTTTTCAGTAGTGGCCAGCAACAGGACTAGAGGAAATGGCCACAAACTGAAGCACCAAAAGTTCCACAGGAACTTAGAGGAAAAATGTCTTAACAGTGAGGATGACAGAGCACTGGAATAGGCTGCCAAGAAAGCTCATGGAATCTCCTTCTCTGGAGGTATTCAAAGACCCACTTGGATGCAACTCTGTGTAACATGTCCTAAGTGACCCTGCCTGTGCAGGGGGATTGAAGTAAATCATGTCTAAAGGCCCTCCTTCCAACCTTAATGACTCCATGACTCTACATCATTGACAAGGTATTCTGCATTATACTAATCTTTTTTGTTTTCTTTTCACTGCTCTCAAAATATCTAACTATAATTCCATAAATCTGTCTTTTGAAATTTAAAAAGGAAATATGCCATTTCTAGTTCTTTTTCCCTTGCCATTCTTTGTATAGTCATCATCTGACACTGGTAGTTTCACAGCTGTTGAATGCATTTACCACTTTAAGGTAGCTCCTCTTCCACTGTGGTTCTATTTTCTCTTTCTGAGAATAAGCCAGCACCACACCAACAGCATCAAAACCATTTTTGTTTCAGACAGACATGTGTTGGCATACCTGTCACTTTGAAAGGATGGATAATCCTTCTTTTCACTGCTGTCGTAATAGATGTTACGACAAGGAGGACATTTGACTTTTCAGTTCATCACATTGCACAAAAGAACAGAAGAGTTTGTGCCTTTTTTTTTTTTCCTGTTGTTTCACATTTCTGGTGTCTCCTGTTGAGGATTTTCTACTTCCTCTTTCTTTTGGAAGCTTTTTGCTGATACTTAAACTGCTGACACTTGCTTTTAGTATCCCAAAGGAACTGTGTTTAATAGTTTCTCCTTGACCTCATACTCATCCTTTTGAACTGCAATTAATCCAAACCTCACCAGGGTACCCTTTACCAGACAACTGAGACGCACCACAAAATATATTTTAAAACGAGGTTTATCAGTTTTCACTATTATGATTCAGATGTAACTTTTATGTCCCCTAGTCTATTTGCTTTAAAATGTAACTTCCGATCATTTTTCCTCAAGAAAAGAAGAAAAAACAATCAAGTCAAAATAGACACTGCTCGTATAGCTGTCCAAGACACTGTATGGCTTTAAAAAAGGTACATGCCTTTAAAAAAGGCCAAGGGAGGAGACAGCCTGTGCTTCTGTGCAGTCAGCTGAGGTGCTCTGAGGTGAGAAGAAATTCAGTGCGTGCCCATTCAGGGCGTAACCTGCTCTACCTGACGAACACCTAGCGAATACCAGTACAGATGTACTTCCAAACAGACATCTGATTCACAACCCACTCATGGGGATCCTTTCAAACACAGCGAGACACTTAACAGGGAAAGAGCTGGATGCCTTTTGTACAACAGTCTACTAAATAGAGCACTTGTTCTACTGAGAGTGATGGGGATTTGCTTCCCACTTCACACTGAGCAGCACAGGATAGACCAGCGCAGGACAGGGGCTCTGCCTCATACGCTGAAGCTTGTCTATTAGACATACAAACATGTAGTTTCTATCCAACGTTACTTGGCTTTTCCTCTAAGTGAGAAAAACTGGTGAATTTTCTATCTCCTAGACTTGTTTGTCTCAAAATTTCATCTCATAATTATCATAATATTGGCCTTAATATGTGATGTAGTAGAAGAAATTAAATTTTAGGTTTTAAAATTCGTAATACTGTTCCAATCCTAGAACTTGTGTGCAAAATGCTAAGTTTAAAAAAAAAAAAAGCTTTTATGAAAGAGAACACTTGAAAGTACCATAGAAATAGTACCATCTATCAAAGTATGGTTCCATTCAGATCACAGATTGAAATTGAGAAATTTCACATTTCTGGTTGCTAAGTGGTTTTTGAATAAAATGTACTAGCTTTGCTAGTAAAAAAAAAAAAGATACATCATCTCCCTCACTTCCAGGCCTCAGACAGTTTACAAAAATGCAATCACAGCTCAGACAAAAATATTCAAATCGCTGTATGTTTTACACTACTGATATTTTTAGAAGCTTAGAATATGTATTAAATTTTTTCTATGTACCTAGAAAATAAAAAGTGTTAGCACAAGTACTTCTCAGTGCATGACACTGAATTCTACTCAGTAATTTCTTGCACTTATTTCAATTACTTATGGTTGACCTAAGGGTAATTTTTAGACAGATTTTCAATTTCAGTGTAAAGATGCTCAAGGAAAGGAGAAATCCCTTAGCAATCTCTTTCAACAATTAAATAGCCTCATCCTAAGCAGAGCTGTTAAAGCCAACACTTCTAAACACAGTATCTTTATGAACTAAAAAGCTCTGTGCTGCTAATGCAAGAGTTAAGAGCAAGATCAGTGATTCATTGATGTTGGCAGATGGTACTCAATACCCACAAATCAGTAGGTGTCATTTTTGCACTGTCACTTTCTCAGAGCATAACTGTATTATAATCACATTTTTAAATTCTTCCTACCAAAAAAAAAAAACCCAAGGTGTATTTTCTTTATGCTCACAACTAGATGACAACATTTAAGAATTGTTTACAGACAAATATATAAAGAAATTACCTAAATTACACTGTAGATAACTCAAGCAGCTCTGAACAAGTAGTATTATTTCTAGGTTTTGTCAATACCTTTCTTGAGAATGACACATGCTGCTAACCTTGAAAGAAACCATACAAATCTCTTCCCCTCCCCAAAATGTTGAAACTTTACTACCAGCACAGTCTAGGTTTTATTTGGCAGAATGAAGGACAGGGGTGAAGTAGAAAATAAATTTACTGAAATGCTCTTCAAGTCTTTTTAACTTCAATTCTCTGCCTTCCTCAGTTAGCAATCTAGCACAGAAGTAGTGCTGTACTATGGTCCACTCCAGTTGCTGGACAGTGGTACATATTTAACTGTTATGCTTGTAATAGCATAGAGGTAATAGAGAAACATAAAGAAAAATAACATAGAAAAAAATGGAACAGGTGGCATCTTAGAAGTTCCTAGGGGATTTGCTGTCCCACTGCTGACTGATGCATTTCCCTATGAGAAATAAAACTTAGAGAAACTGCAGCATTTTCATTTTAGTATTTTTTGATAGTGTTGTTGCTGTTGTTCAGTACACAATAAAATTATTAGGAAAGCCTGTGGGGAACTCTGGGTTACTGTATGCACTGCAATGCCCAGATTTTTTGTTTGTTTTTCTCTCCTCTAAAAATGGATCCAGTAGAGTGATTGTGCAACCAACGTGCAGATGACAGCAAGACCAGACTGTTGTGATCCTGGCTGGTTAAGATGAATAACTACTAATGTTGGAATCTAGCTCCAGGATGATTGAGCTACCAAGAAAAGCATTTAAAAGTCAATGCAGCATTTGTAGGATAGTATCTCATACATCTCTGCCTGGCAAGAAGGGGCAGTCTTATCTTTCTAATAAAGATATAGCAGACAGGTGCTCATCTTTTTGAAGCAGCAGGTATTTACTGAAACATATCTGTCTTCATCCCTTCTAGAACAGATTACAGTAACGTGATGTGAATAGGACTACTACTTATATTTATTTATAAGCTGCAAACAGCATAGAAAGTTGTCCTTTCAAAAAGGAAGAGGGGATTCTCAGATTGAACCCATGAAAATTGCTTATGATTCTGTCAAAAGTGATTTCCAGATTAAAAATTAAGGTGTTAGTTTTGACATACATACTAAAAAAAAAAAAAAAAAAAAAACCACCACTGAGAGATTTTAAGCGGAGCCTTCTTTCCTGCATAGTTTTCATCACAGAAAATGTGCAAATACTTTTTACAAAACACATTTCCTATATTCAAGTTGATAACTAAAAATCAAAACACTAAAGCTGTCTTTCTTTTGTTATGGATTTTTTAAGAATTTTTTTAAGCCATCCCTTCTTTCCTTTGTCACTCTCAACACTTGGAAAGTGAATTTCCAGCAATCCATTCTTGCATTCTTTCACATGGCCTCTTTCTAAGTAATACCCCTTAGTATAAAGATTCTAATAACAAGCGTATCTGAAGGTCTATCAATTCCAATGGAATTCTATCAAAATTTAGAACTGCTTTCAGCACCGTACTAGGTTATGTCTTGATCATCCTTCCAGCTGGATTAGTAAGGGAGCTCAGAGAGCTACGAGGAGGCTCCTTGCTGAACCACATACCATCCCAAAAAATCCAGGCCTGTCCTCAGGTACATGAAGCTCAGGATAAACATTCTCCAAGAACCATTTGAAGTCCTTACACTTAAGCTTCTCTCGAAGGAGTCTCCTTTCTGTCACATCTCCATATGGTTCCTGGAAGAGGGAAGGAAAAAAAAAAAAAAAGAAAAAAAAACAGAACAGATGCTCCCTTCTAAATTATGTATACACATTATTAGGGTCCTTATGCTCAAGTGGAAAGCAATACTTTTAACCAGAAAATATTCCCACTCTCAGGTGCTCGATTTGACATGTTGACCAAAAAACAAATAATAAAATAAAATATACTGGATGACAGTCAGTCTGAAAACACCTCCAGAAACTCTCCAAGTAAGGATGTCCCTGAACAGAGATTGCTGAAAAATGAGAAAACATACTGGCAGTATACTTCTTTCAGCTGGATAACTGAAACTTTCAGAAGTACTAACTCAATCTTTTTTTTTTTTTTTTTAAATTATTCTGCCATCAACTTGTAGATTGCTTATAAAGAAGTTTTTACATTTAACTGATGAAATTTCTAAAAACAGTCTTACAGTTTCCTTTAGCTTTATAGCTTTGGTAATGAGGGATCGTAGTAAAGTCAACTCTTAGTATGAAATCATAGAACTCTAGAGAAAAACTTTCAGTTAAGACTTTTCCCTATGTACAGATCAGAGTTTATGCCTCTTCAAGCCTTCAATACCTTCAAAATCTATATTTCTGTACCAACTAAGGACTTCAAGCATGATCTGCTCTTTGCAATCTCCACATTCTCACAGGTCATGTGATCCACCTTTTCATCAAGTCAAAAATCTATCTGTGTTTCTCAGAATTGAAAAGACAAATCAAATACAAACCAGAGGCAGTGGTGCAGGCTTCAGTGAGCAAACAGTAGGACATACTCACTATGAATTAAGAATCTGAGTTAGGTGAGTAAAATGTTTTGAATTTATCCTTTGAAACATGCAGTGTTTCAAGAGCAACTGTGCTTAACATTTTTTTTGTTTGGCACATTTTTTTGTTGTTGTTGTTCTTTAAAATGGCAAAAATTTGGCCTTCTCCTAGTCTTTAAAAACAAAAAAAAATCTGATTTTCTCAAGAAATTATAAATACAAAATAAAGAAAAAAATCAGCACACACAAAGTCATTCATGTTGAAAGTTAGATGAGTTATTTCTTTGAGAACAAACTCTATTGTAATTCTAAGTTTGATGTACTTCACACTCACCAGGCGGGCATTTGGATTTCGATGGTAATAAAGTTCTTTGTATTCATCCATCCACACTTCAGCTGCACGTACACTGTTTGCCAAAGCCTTGGACCGTGAGTAAGGAGCTTGTTTGGGGAAAACATGACCTACATGAGAGCAAGGGTGGATCTCAAGACTTCCTCCACACTGCCATATCTAAACAAAGAATTCACATTTCGCACAGTTATTGCCAATCTCAGCAAGCAGAAATATACAATCAGGCTTGGCCAGCTAATGCCTCCTCAGGAATACCACAGCACATTCTAAGTAACGCAGAATAATTTTGTGAGATGGGGCACATTATCGCCTCATTCTACAATCAAACTGGGCTAAATTACCTCCTCATGACCTCAGAGCAAATGGTTGAGAGCAATAAGAAGATATCCCTAATTCTGGTTTTATCAGGTGTGCAATTATCCTTATCTTAGTTTTACTTTCTCTGAAGGCATGATGCTAAGGGCTCCACAATATTTCTGTGTGTTGAATAGTAATCTACAATTCAAGATATTTAAGTATTATTCACCAAAGCACCATGTATGCGGTCCAACAGCAATCACACCAACAGCCTTCTTAGAAAGAAAGTAATGACTGATTTCTTACCAGAAATTTGCCCTTTCTTTGCTTACATTCTGCTGGAAAGCTAGCAAAACTTGCAATCTTGTCACATTATTGGAAAGCCATTAATTGTTTTGACATTTCTGTATGCATCATTTCAGAAAAGACAGTACCTGGCCCAGTCATAAAAATATTACCACCACTGAGCTTTTTAATTGCAAAGCTGGAAAAGGAGTCCAACACGCAACAGATGAGAAAGAAAAGGACACAAAAATAATTATTTTAATGACACTTGGTGCTCCAATTAATATTATCAAAATAAACTCTCCTATCCAAATTAGGAATAACACAGACTTTCTCTAGACTTTTTTGTTTGTTTTTGTTTTGCAAAATAGCATTCCCTATAGCTAATAGGGATAATAGTTAATTCTCCACACACATCCAGCTGTGCACTCTAGGCATCACATCCTTCCTCTGTAAATGGAAAACCAGAGAAAATAAAGGTCTAAGATACATTTCAAGGTGCGAGAGGTTTGCTCTTTAATGACCCTCTTGTGTAACACATACATTTTTAATTACTTGTTATTAAAACAGACACAGCAGGAGCAAAAGCTGAGAGGCTGAAGAAAGAATTTCTGCCCTTAACAGTGACAGCACATCAGGGTTCCTCTCCTTGGACTGCTTGGGATTCACAAAGTCACTAGAGATTAAAACCTTTCAGCATGTACAAGATGAACACTGCCCTCAGCCTGCTGTTTCTTAAATAATTATTTACATATTTCTGTCAAATTTCTTATCTTCAGTATCAATGAATATTGTCTGTATTCTATTGGTTTGATTTTAGATAATGATACCATAATAATGGACATATTTATGAGAGGCAAAATACTACATGGTAATATTGTAGATACTCTAAGCTTCATGATAAAACTTGGACTCTAATACATAGGTTTACTTATAAAACAACCATCTTCCTTAAACGTATGGGTAATTCACTACTTGACCACAGAGAATACTGAGTAATCTTCACTTCTTAGATTTAAAATTTTAAATTTTCTGGTTTTCACAATAGGTTTCTTTGTTTTTCTTTTCTGAGGAAGCAGCACTTTTTTTTTCTTTTTAATAGAATGATTGAAGCAATCATTATTAACTCTCCCTAAATCCAGAGTTCTATACTTTTGTTTTAAATGACTATCATGTTTTCAAAGGTAAATTACACTACTGCCATACTGAAAGCTGTTATGAAACCACTTATCAAATTTCACTCTTAGATGAATGAGATATATACTTCTTCACTGAAATTTATTTCAAAACAACAGCTTTCTTTTGTCATTATTTTAATATTAAATACTATATTTTTAAGAACTAAAATTTATCAGGCACGATTTGACAATAAATACTGAGCTCTATTAAAAATTTACTACGGCACATCAATTTTCCTACTTCTTCTATCACAGAAAAGCATATTTTTGTGATCATTACTGCTTTCATCATTTTTTTTTAAACAATTAAGATACGAGGACTAGGCCATAAGGACCACACAGGTATAAAAGTAGTTAAACACATTCTTCACTTTTTTCTGTGAAAAAGTCCTAGTTAACTGGAATAAAGCAGACTAGCCAATAGCTCTGTTAAACTGCTGCCAAAAATAAATTCCACAATTATTGAACTTTCAAAAGTTAAAATTCTGAATAGCTTTAAAAAATAACTGAAAGCTGATAACCAGTGTTCATTATATTCCTCTGCCTTTGACATACGCAACGTTCTCTTCACTTACTATTACAAAAAAAAAAGAAATAGTTTTCAGCCAAACAATTCCTCAATAGATTTAGTACAAAAACCCTATTTTGAATTTGATATAAAATCACATTCAAGTGAATAACTAAAATAAAAAATTGCAAAACAGAAACCCAAACTGACTATGAAATGCTAAATAAGTGACTCTGAGATACATTCTCCCCTCAAACTAATTCCAGTTCCTGTAAGAGCACATTAGATTTCATTTATATTTTTCAAGCTTACAAGCAGACAAGTAGGTTTCTTTATTATGTGTGGCTAGCTCAAAGCTCATCAGTATAAAGGTGTTTTTTTGAACACACACACACAAAAAAAAAAAAAAGAAAAAAAAGAAAAAGGTAACAGACACTTCACCTTGAATAAAAAGATGTATGTTGGCTATGAAGATTTTTCAGACACAGATGCTTGTGTTACAGGAAACTTTAAGTGTGTAGAGCTCCATTCAGAAGCCCTGCACCTGCAAGAATCTTTGGGCAATCAACCTAATAGATGGGTCAGTGAAAAGTAAACAAAAAAGTAAAACTATTGTCAAAAACTACATTTCCTATACTAGCTCTACAGTCTCCAGTCTAATATTTTAGCATCTTTTTTTTTCCTCATTTACGAACTCCTGAACTACAGCAAGCAACAACAGCAAAGCTGGGGAAAACATGCACACGTACCCTTCCCTCTTCTCCCCCTTTTTTTTCCCCTCATTTATTTTTGTTGTACTTTCATTTTTCCCCATTTTACACCTGTGCACCAAGGATAGTACTTCAGCACCATCTGCTGGGAAGCAGACGGGAAAGGCACTCAAAAAAAAAAAAAAAAAAAAAAAAAAAGCTAAAACTGTCACGAGTTACATAAATCACATTCAGAGTATTCTGTCTGTAAGAGAAATTTCCAGATCCAGACAGGAAGAACCAGTAAAAAATAAATAAAAAATGAGAATCTCCAAGCAGAGAGAGATGCATCATCCAAGAGAGCATGGGCATCATCCAGGAGCATTCCACTTCACGTGGAAATTTCAAATAGAAGAAAGGAATTTTCAGAAGGTACACCTGTCTCTCTGACTGTATTTTCTTTCCTGCTGTGACGACAAGTTAAAGGGCAGACAGCAGAGTATCTATCCCCCAGGAACAAATTTATATTACAGTGTATTACAGTGTCACTAACAGGACCCACAGCAGAGCTGGGGAAAAAAGCTGCAACTGGGTTACTCTCCCTTGACAGAGAGCAGACAGAAGATAAAAAGGCATCATTTTGCAACCCTTAAAAAGAGGTATTTCAATGCTCATTATCCATGAAGTGAAATTTTTCTAGCCAAATCCCAAGTTGCATTGATCTGATGCTGCATTCAGAACACAGCTTCAATCTCTCTTTGCCGTAATGCTTTTAGCCAGAGCTTTGTCCTTGTTGCACCTTTTGAAACCTCAGGGAATTTCTGCAGTTTAGAGCAAACAAAGCAAAAGAAAGCGGAGGCCCAAGAACAAATCTTTTCACGGCAATGGAAGGGTAATGTTTTCAAAGACAAAAGAAAAAAGCAATGAATTAATTTACAATATGTTTCAAGAATCCCTGCTCCTAATTTTCAGTTCTGGCAGGTCTAGAAACCAGAGAGACATCAGAATTAGCACTAATTTATACCTCCTGACCTTTTGCAGTGCTTCGAGCAGCAAGAAGTGCAGTAAAACAACATCCTTGCTTTCCACAAGAAGCCTCACCACAGGAGGCACGAATAAAAGGAGTTGAAAATTTGCCATGGACTGTTTGGCTCCAAGTGCCCCGACCCTGCTAGCTATGGCCACATGAGCAGAATTACTGAGCTTTGGCATATTCCTCCTTCCTCGACCAGCGGCCCTTGCACAAGCCAGCAGGGAAAACTTCCCTCCAGAGCTCACTCCCGACGCTGTCCTGAGGGAGCTAGGCCTGAAGGCATCGCACAGGCCTGCGCACTTCCCAGTGAAGTGCCTCCCTCTGCCCCATCCCCAGCCTGGGCACAACCTGCAAGTCTGACGCTGTGTAAAAGGAGTCTAACGAGCGTGTGTGCCAGGGTTTTTCTCAGGGAATGCTCACCCACAACATGCTTGGTGCTGCATCACACCTACATGGAAGGTGCTGTCTTGATCTCTGGTGGAAGCTCATTGCTAAGCTCACAGTCTCCAGCCTTTGCTTAGTTTCTGCTGTTTAACTGCTGTTAACAGTGTTGTAGCTGAGGAAATAACTGATGGAGAGTTCATGGACATTGCCCCTGGTCCCCTCAAATGCCTTGCTACCTAAAGACCAGGCCTTCCTTATCCCAAGCCGCACAGTTAAGGACGGAGCAGAGATGCTCTCCCTCACACCTTGGCCTTCCCCAGTCAGCTGTAAACTGGTCCATGCTACGTGATCTCCTACACAAGACTCAACTTTTCTAGGTTAATCCTCACCTGGACTATGACTGATGAAGGAGCCCCACACCCATGAGTAGGGAAGACAGCGTCTTCACAAGCAGTGACAAGCACCACTACGTCACTGGGGCCTCAGGAACAAACCCTCCATCATTGGCTGTGTCTCGATGAGAAGCCTTGCAAAAGGCAGCATAAAAATCATTTCCACAGAGAACCATTTCATAGCTCCTGATGCTGTGACTAAGTAATTATCCCAAAGAACAAAGGAAACAAAATTGTTAGAGTGGGAAGGAGGAGACCTTGGGAACAAGGCTATGAAAGCACACTGCACCAGAACCTGTGGAAGCCAGCTGGAAGGCTTCTGCCTTTGACTAGCAAACCTGGTGAAAGTGGGTAAGCCACTGGGGAGCGGCCACAGAGGCCAGCCAAACTCCCTGGTGGCGAGGGGAAGCGGGCACTGTGCTTGGACTTACATGCCACAGTAATTTTTCTTTATGCGAGAAAGGAGTCATGACCTCGGATCAAAGAGCTATCACAGCTCAGAACTGTCCCTTGAGTATGAAGCATTGCTTTTCTGTATGTCATGGTTACCTTCCTCCCCATTTCTTCTCCTTTCTTATTCTCATGACTTCCTTGCTAGCTTCTCTTCACTACAGAGCAGAAGACAGGAAAAGAAGCAACGGGGACTCCATGCTTTCTCAGCCAAATGCTACACATCTGAAGCCAGGCAGTCTGCGGAGGCCTTTTTCTAGAGGCTACTTCTGTAATAGCAAATCACTATTTATCCTGGAATTCTGCTGTCACCTGGTGAAAACAAAACAAACCCACCAACCCTTCCTTCCTACAATCTGATGACATATAGAAATGCAAACACAACCACAAATGACAAGCAGAAAAAGAAAAAATGGAATTTCAGGATGGTAAGTTATGAGCCTCCTGCCCAAAACATTGCAGGATACCTTGGAATAATCAGCAGATTCCTTCTGCAAGCTAAGGGTGATTTGGGACAGACCATAAACTGATAGAGCTCAGCAGGAATAGCAACAGCACTAGCATCAGCTGAGTAGAGGATAAGACTTCTTGCTTATCAGTCTAAGCTGTCTCTTATCTTCTCTCTCCTCCTCTACCGTACACCTTTTCATTCCACGACAAAAATCTACCTGCTTCACATCTGAACGCAAACTCACCTTGCAGGGAGGAACTTTTCAGTTCTGAAGCTTCTCTACCACCTTTTTTAACCTTTATACAAATCTTTCCTGACAGAATAAAACCCTATATTAGTACAGGTTGAATTTTCTTACCCCACTGGTAACTTCTGTCACTTTCCTCTTTTCGCTCTGTCAACTGCTCCTGAGTTATACTAGCAGAATTACAAATGTTGCTTTCCAGCTATCGCCTCCAAGCCACAAAATCTGACTACATTTTATACTGGCATTCAAAAAAAAAAAAAAAAAGACATATTCAAAGAAAAGTTTTAAAAGTGCAATTGTGTAAACACAAACATGCTGAAGTGTAAAAGCAATGAGGAGATTTATATGCACATAACCATGAATATTCTCTATTTTTCACTTGCTAATAATAAAACTATTTCATTAATCAAAGGAGATTAAGAAACAAAGATGATTTTTCTTTTATTCTCAGGAAAAGGGAAAAAAAAAATTAAGGGCACCACTCACCCTAAATGAGAATTCCAGGTTTTCTCCCCCCCAGACTTCCATTCCTGTGTCATATGAACCAAGATAATCAAAATATTTCTTGCTAACAGCAAATAATCCACCTGCCATGGTTGGAGATCTATAAAAGAGAAAAGTAATTCTGAATTGAATGAAAAGCCAAAAATATACACATGAATTAAAGCAACTGTGCAATGGCAATATACAAAAAAAATAGCCTTTTTTAAAAATTGTTTTATCAGTCATTTTCTGGATACAAAGTAAGCATCAGCCACTGATCAGTTAAATACTGTATCTTGAGGCCATTTATTTTTATTGTGTAGTAACAAGGTTTTTTCCCCAAAAAGAGCTCCACAGTGTATTAAAATATTAATAAAATCAAAGAAGTTAAGCATTGTATATATTTTTTTCAATTACGGTGTCTTTGTAACTAGTAATAAATGAAGAAACTACCCCTTACCTTCAAATAACACAACATAAACTTGTTTTTTTTTATATGGCCAAATTACTTTAGTCGGGTCTGAAATTTATTCACAGCTTCCTTATAGATTTTTACTTAAGTAGTAACTAAAATCTTTGTGCTTTATTAATAGCAACATTCCTCATCCTACCACTATCAGTTGCATAAAAAACTCTCAGACATTAATTGAACTGAATTCAGTAATGATGGTACCTAAAGACAGATTTTCTTTATAGAAATATCTACTGTCTGTATTTTTAATTGTTGACCAGATTTTTTTTTTGGGGGGGGGAGGGGAGGGGGAAAGAGTTGAAAATTTGAACCACATTTCAAAGATCACAAGGCCCAAAATTGACAGTACAGCTAAGGAATATACTTTCAGCAGAGTAGTGTGTGCATGGATACATAGAACAGAATTTGTTGAGTGTTGTTCCTAACTGCTTTCAGTCTTGGACAAACTCCCTTCTTTAAAGTGCCAAGCATATAATGCTGGATGGAACTAAATTCATATGACATCTCATTAATTTTGCAAATGAAAACTATCAAGGGTTAAGTCTGCTAACAGTTATTCTTAATCTGTTTAAAATAATTTTCACAGCAATCTCTTTGAAACAAATCCATTTTACACTGGCACATGTTGTTACAAAGGATGGGAAGAGATGAGGTGAGACATAAAAGAAAAAACAAACTTCATAAACATTCAAGTTCTTCTGTCTCACTCCAGATGTAGTCCTCCAAAGAACAGCTGTCAGCTGTATCACTCTCTTTGCTGAGCACTCCTGCCTTCCCCAGACAACCATAAACACTTGCCGAGCTCAAGGTCCTCTGCCCACATTGCAGCCTTATCTCTCAGCACGTTCTCCTCAGGAGTCCAAAGTCAATTCCTTCTTATTTGCACAGAAGTCAATTCCTTATTTGCACAGAAGAAAAGCACTACTTTTAAGCTGCATTTTTTTTTTAAATGTAATCTGTTCTTAAAAATTTGGAGGATGTTAACTAATATATGATGAGAAGAATTGAGTAACTGCCTCATTTCTTCCCATTAGAAAACACTTCATTATCGATCAATTGAGGACAAATTCATTAGTACTTGTGAAGTCCTGAGTATTACCACTTAAAGCAGCCTAGAAAAGACTAACGAACCATACTAACGAACCATTCTGTATTTCTCTTAGGTTTTTAGATGATAGATTATAAATAAAAGCAAGGTCTAATAAAATGATAGGTAATAAAATTTGGAGGTCTTCAAAACCCGCCTGGATGCCACCCTGTGCCACATGCTCTGGGTGTCCCTGCTTGAACAGGAAGGTTGGACTAGATGATCTCTAGAGGTCCCTTCCAACCTTGAACATTCTGTGATTCTGATTCTGTACTGTTAAAAATACCAAACAGCTGCTTCATTTCATACAATGCTCTGCTGAACTACAGCAGCGTCCAAGTTGAGTGAAGTAGACCCTCAGCTCCCAAGATCTTACCTACAAGTGCCCATTTTCCAGACTCCATTTGCTTCTCCCAAAAATACGTTATGGTCTGACATATAATATCTAACCATTGTATCTTTTCTTACAATAAAACAATATTAAAACCCACTACAAAAGCAGCTGTATGAGCTCCCAAGACATAGCAGGGTGGGCAGAGTTGTATCACTTCAGCCCAAATAAAGAACTAATCAAAACAGTTTACTTCTGAAAGTAAAGCAAGGAAGAAAGAAGCATGATGGCTACAACACAGATAAAACAAAATTACTTCTACTGTCCTACTCATTTATATATTTTTCTCTTTTTTCACTGTTGATCATGACACTTTTTATGCAGTATGGCTCTACTGTTTTGCACAAAGAAAATCCTTCAGTCTTAGTTGATCAGTTACAGTTCTCCCACTAATAAACACCATTGGAATTTCTGCTGCAGAAGTCAAATGTTTACTTATGGAATAAGGATTTCACATTAAAGACCACGGAGGAATTTCAGCTTTTAGAGTGAATTTTCTTCCAGTAGCATAGTGACCAGGAGCCACTCTGAAGAAGAGGAACCAAGGAAAACACACAGTTTCAATGCAAGTTACAAGCCCTCATTTCTTGAATATTTTTCAACACCTGCAATTTCCAATTGAAATAAAAAACACCTAAAGCATTTACAGACTAAAACTAAGAGACATAAATATTCACCTGATCACATCAGTCTTAGACTTCCTTCGTTTCTGCTCTCTTTCAGGGGTTACGTGCCAAGTGAAGACGAGTCTCCAGTCAAATCCACCAATCTGTGGTTCCCCAGCGTTTCCCAAGTACTCAAACGTATTCCAGTCGATAACATCAATAACAGGACACACGACAGCTGTCTCCTCCTCCCCAATTCTAATAGGTTTGTAGAAGAAAAAAAGAGACTTCTATTAGATCCACCTCTTAAAAAGAAGGAGCAACAAGAACAGAGAATCCTTACGAACATGAACTTTTGGTCCTTTTCAACTCCTGCTGCAACACAAGGGAAGAATAGCTATAAGAACAGCTAGTGAATTTTCATAGGGGTTGCATGAGAAGAATGCATCAGGATGGAACCAAACACAGGTATCTGGCAAGTACCATTCTTCTGGGACAGCAGGAGGGAGGTAGGCCAGATTTCTTCAAGTATGTTCTCTCATTCAGCATCTTGCAAGACTGTACAATAATAAGGCACAATATTCTGAGCAAAAAAATCTGTTTTGCTTTGTGCAGGTGGCTGCCTTATAGATATTCCGAGAAGAATGACATGGATGCTGCTGACTGAAGTGGAAGCCCAAGGTCTCCCTCCTAAGAGATCAAACTGCAGCATGTTTCAGCACGACTGTCACTCTGCCAGGTGGAAGAATGGGCCCTAAGGTCACGGCTGTTCTCGCAAATGCAATAATCTCCAAAAAGTTACACTGAACACTACAAAAGTAACTCAGAAAGATATCGTGAGTTTAAAAAAAAAAAACAAATAAATGAAAAGTTCTCACAGGGGAATTAAATCTGATAGTGAGGCCGTAAAACTCCAATACAAAAAGGACAAACAAGATAAAGCTGGAGGCTCATCTAAGAATAATTTAAGTACTAAGAGTATGTTACAGCTGATCTCTGCTTCTGCAAGCAGATGAACTCCTTTTTTTTTCCCTCTATTTCTCAATACCATGCAGGGTTTGCTGGATTCCTCTCTAAAAGAATTTCTGCATTTGCATTTCAAAGTCTGTGGGAACTTTTGCCATTCCTTCAGCTTCTGGAAAGGTTCTCAATACTGGAAGAGATGAAACTCAAGGCACACAAACACAACATTAAACTTCTCTCCCATAAATCATTCGTAAACCTCTCTACACTAGTCTTTGTCACTGAGCAGGCAAGACAGATCGAAGTGGCTTATCCAACTTTAAGGTGCTGGAATTTGTCTTAGTCTTGCACCTTCTGATCTGCATATTTTAAACCAGAAAAAAAAAAAAAAGTTATTGTCAAACAAGGAAGATGCATCTTCTATTAAAGGGGGATTAGTCATTCACAGGATTATTAGGTTTAAAACATACAGGCTGAACAAGAGGCTGTGACTCAGTGAAACCAAATTCACAGAAATTACAGCAGTTTGTAGTGGTTACATGAAGAGAACAGAGGTGTTCCCAAAGCAGCAGTTTCTGAATTGAGGAAGACTGGGTGACGTACGAAATGCCACAGGAAACACAGTACAAAGCAAAGAAAAACTTTGCTATAGAAACAACTGATTTGTTGTTTCTATAAAGAGAGTAAAAACTAAGTATGTGCCACAATTTCAGTTACAAAAGAAATCAGGTAAGTGAAAAGTCATCTCTTTCTCTGTAAGCAAAGTTTTAACTAGATGGCACAATGCATAGATATTTTATGAACAGAACTGTGTTTGCATTGCAAACATTATGTTCAGTTGCATCCCTGCATTTGAGCTAACCCACATCATGCAAGCATGCCCTTACAGGCATACATCTGCATCAAGAAGATTATAAATTACAAGAAATTTCTTGGATAATTCATTATATTCAATTAACTAAAATTATCCAAACTCTTAATTAAGACTGCCATCTAGTGACTTGCAAGTTGAAGAAATTACAGAACTCTCTCCACAATTATTGGTTGTTTCTTCAGAAGACAAGCATTGAAAACATGTTTATTCTTCAATTTTTACTCCTTTCCTTTCTTTGCGCTATCTATATTGTTCACAGTTAAGCCACAATTATCTGAAATATACCTGAATTGAAATTTCAGGAGCAAATCGAATATGATAATGGTAAAAAGAAAATTATTCCAGATAAATTTTCAAATTTATATCAGGAATTTGAGAGCTCAAGTTCCATTAATAATAACATTCACAATCCTTGTATGGTATGTGCTCTTGGCAGTATCTTTCAGAATTTGTATATATCTATTTTTTTTCCAACATTACTCTGCTGCTCACAAGAGTTGGTGGGAAACTTTACAGGTTATGAGTCAAACCATTAGTCCTACCTGAGGATTTTCTTATTATTTCTCAAAAGAAGCTTTCTAACTTGCCCAATAATTTCATGGTATAGATGAAAAAATACTTAGCTATAAATTATAGTGTCCCAGGACAGAGGGTGTGCAAGTAACAGTCAGTGCAGACAATAATGCTAACCTCTCTGTCCTGCCTCATGATGCTTTGCATCATAATCATTTTGGGTGAGCTGAACACTCAGAAGGCAGATTTATTGAATTCGCTTCCATCTACTTCTGTGTATACTGCCCCGTAGCACTGGATTTTTCAGGCCCTCATCTCTCCAGGCCTTCAATTCATCCACTTCACAGATTGACAGAGAAACCAGCTTGGAAGAGCAGCATAAAATCTGAGGATCAGCCTATGGAAGAAAACAGAAATCTACCTCCTGCTTTTCCACCCCACCATTCACTCTTCCACTGCCAGGAGAACGGCCTCAGAGACCACCCAGTGGTGACCTTTGGTAAATGGTGTTTCTTCCACTGCAGAACACAGAAATGTGCCAAACACTCCTTCTTCCTCTGCTCCAGAACAGGAAAACAGCACAGAAAAAAAAAAAAAAAAAAAAAAGAAGTCACTCACATGCACACCAGCAGATCCAACATCCAAGCTCTGCACACGGACACCCGGCACCCCTGCAGCCAGCTGCAGGATATTGCTACGTGTGTCCATCAGCCCCCAAGAAAAGCTGCCCTGGACAGACAGACACACTCCCCCCAGCTCCCCTTTGAGCAAGATTTCTTTGCAACACAGATCGGGTTTCTCCACATCATTATGCGCAGCACTAACACATGTTGATCTCTGGAACTATTCCCCCTTWATATCCAGCTTCCAGCTGTTACCTTTAAAGCTACCCCAGACGAGTCTCCGGGCATTAAGGAGTTTTTCTTCTCCAGTTACGGCACTGCCAGGAGCCACAAGTGTTACTGGTTGAACAATGGCTCCGAGCGCTCATGCAAGGGCGGTTTAGCCAAGATGTCTGTTATCTTTTATAGCCTCTTCCCGGGCTGTCCCAAACCAGGAAGGCGCTCGGGGCCGCGCACGCACATTCCACCGGGCTTGTGTAAAGGGCGGCTGCGCTCGCCGCAGCCGCGCTGCTTTACAAGCCAGGCCAAGGGATGCTCTACCTGAGGGCACCCACCTAAAAGTTGGCACAGAGCGACCAAATGCATCCTCCGGCGGGGAGGCACCGATGGGAGCTGCAGGTCGGGCTCCCTTGTGCTGCAGCCCCTCGGGCAGAAACCCGAACGTGGCAGCGGGGCACTGCAAGACAAGGGGCTCGTTGCCATCCCGAGACTCGGGGCTATCGCTCAGCACACGGGGGCAGCAAGGCGGGGGGCGCCGCGCCAACAAGCGCCCATTGTTCGGGGCATCGCGGCGGCGCCCGCCCGGCGGCTGAGCCCCCGAGCCCCCCGCCTTGCACCCGCTTCGGCGCCGCGAGCAGCCCCGCTGCTTTTTGTTATTATTACTGCTTTACCCATAGCACAAAAGGAGGGGAAAATGCAAAAGGAAAAGTTGAGCGCGGGCTCCGCGCCCCTTCGGACCCTTCTGGGCGGCGCGGGAAGCGACGGCTCCCTCCTTCCCCCCCCCCCCAACCCGCGGCGCGGGCTGCACGAGCCCCGCAGGG